CCTCCCTCCCTCCTGCTATACCTCTCATTCCTGTTCCTCCTCTTCCTCTTTGTCACTCCTCTCCCTGCGTCATCGTAGCTCCTCGTCCTCTGCTTCTTCACCCCTGCCTCCTTTTCTGATGCTATTTCTTTATTTTGCTTTCACCACCATCTGACTTTCTTCCCTCCATATTGCTTCACTTTCTTCCCGTTCTCCTTTGACATTCCTTCTCGCTGCTCTTAACACTCCTTGAAACTTTCCCCCCTTTGCCTCTTCTCCGTCTTTACTCATCCTCCTGCTCCTCCTTTATCTCTTTTACTCATCCTATTGTCTCAGTGGCTCTATACGGCAGCATTCTGTCCTCAGCAGGAGACCTGGCAGAGGCTGACAAAAGAGATGTGAAAACGTGTTACTTCCTGGAGTTAAAAGAAACCGAGCTAAATTTCTGCGCGTTAAGAAAAACTGTTGACCGGCGCGTCACATCTCACAGCTCTTTATTGTCAATGAAAATACGCCACGGACGTCATTCGGGCATGTTTTTTAAATTGTAAAACAAACACAATAATCATCAACTGCTCACGTATGAGAACTTTGTGATGGCAAAAGCCGCCTTGTCAGAGGTAATTTAGGATATGTCAGACTTTCAGGAGCTGCTTGTCTTTTAACGTTTGGAGTGCATGAAGAGTGCTTGAACTTTATAGACATTTAAACAGTCTGAAAAGCGGCAATCAATATTGCTTTCAGCGCATGCTAACTTAAGCAGATCCTGTTATCTTTTAAATGAAAGTGTTCGGTCTCTGTTTAATTAATTCTTTGTACTAAGAACAGAGTAACAGCCTCATCTCAAGTACTGTTAGACTAGCTTGGCTTAGCGCGTGAGATAGTGTAATAGTACCTGGAACCTTTTCATCACTTCCATCCCTGCTGTTGGATCTCTGGCTCTGGAAGACCTCAGGATCCCTCAGCCGGACCCGGATGACACGGCTGAGGGGAATCTGTACCAGGTTACTTTTCTTAGCCCGCTGCTACCGCCGCCAAAACCTGGTTAAGCAGCAGTAAGAAACCGGAGGGATAGATGGATAATTCCATCCCTGTGCATGTGATTACTGACAGCTACTGAAGCCAGATTAGCCCTGCCATAAGTTCCCAGGGTCAGATTCAGGTCACCGGGCTGCAGAGGGATGTGGGTTTAGGACTGTGGCATTATACAGCAGATTGAGTCGCTGGCTGCAACCAAGACTTCTGATGTATCTGTGTAACGGGTCTCACACCTCCAGTACTGTCAACTTTTATCACTGTGTATCTCATAGTTCGGAAAGAGTCGTGTTTCAAACCTTAGCTCAAGCACACTGGTGAGAAAAACATGCATCTGTTTGCAAGACTCACACCTTGTATTGAGCTGTTTTGTCTCAGCCCCATCAGATATTATGTCTGGAAAAAAGTGTTTTTATGCTGAAAACAGTAACATCCTGCCTCAGGAAGCTGAGCCGCTCCACTTAAAGATTAATTAACTTTCAAGAATTTAATCTTAAAGCATAAAGAAGCTGTACAAAGGATGATCACAATTCATTTTCTTCTATCTGTAGGGAAATCACGAGTGTATTTAATTACTTGATTGATCCATCTTTGTACACAGGGTTGTTTTATTACAGCTACGATTCACATGTCCAGAGATTCATTCATTGATCACACAGTAGTTAAAAATATAAGAGTAAATGTAATATGCATGCATTTTAATTGGAGAAAGTTATGCATGACAGAGAAGCTCAAAAACAGGAACTCTGTAGTGAATAAAAAGGTTAACAAAAGTAAAACTGACAAACCTCCCCACTTCAGTCATGCAACGCCACAACACATGGTGCACATTTATTTTCAAAAACACATTTTTTAGATCAGTAACACGTTTTCTTTTTAGTGTGTCCCAGGTTGAGTTATTCCTCAACTAACAGAAGCGACTCAGTGCTAACAGCGTCTCCAGCACACAATCCCAGAGCCACACATATGGTTGTCACTATGACACTATTGACAAGGTTTAGTTCCGGAAACTGATAACTATATTAAACTAGCATGCACACACACACAGACACACACACACACACACACACACACCTACACTGCTTCCTTTCCTCATCTAGTAATTGAAGGTGAGAAATAATTTCATTATCCTCAGGAAGAGTAATCTGCTCTCCACTCCTGATCCTTTCATTTCCTACAGTGCACCTCGACCTGGGAGCCACACACACACACAGAAACAGGCGCCACATACTTATCACACATGCAAGCACACACACACACACACACACACACCCCACACAGACACACACATAGTTCTTATCACCCTGGGCTATTAATGTTATTGGAGTTGGGGATTAACCATCAGATTCACATATGCTTTACAAAGCTTTATTACTTAGTACTGTCTTGCTCTCTCTCTCTCTCTCTCACACACACACACACACACACACACACACATATGTGTTCACACACTCCTTTTGCACACACGTATGCACAGAGCTTTGTGTGAAGAAAAAGTTAATTGGGAGTGTGTGCACCAGTTAGAGGACAGAAACAGGCTCTTAGTCGAAGGTATGAAAACACTTCACATTGCTGCGACTGAACTAAACTCTTCTGCGCAGTGTTAAGTGGTATTATTTTTCTTTGCGCCATAATCACAGAAGGCCTTGCTGCATCTTTGTGAAACATGATGTAGAAATCCAGTGAGGGACTCCTAAGAGAATGCTGCCGTAAAGCTTTGTGTGGATTCTTTCCCCCTAAAACCTTCCCATTCAGTTTCAGTGCGGTGGGTAGAGGTGGTGGAGATTAAACTGCACTCGTGACTCGTGCACATCATCAGAAGTCAACAAAAGAATAAAAACCAAAGCAAGCAGCGGCTGAGAGTTCGAGGGCCATTCTTTTTTTTTTTTTTTTCCCTTCTTCTGCCGAATGGTGGATCACACCTAGTTTAATGTTACATTACCACCCTCTACTGTTCATCTGCTCAAGATGTTCTGGGTGACCCTCTATGTCAAGTGTCATCTGTTGACAAAACGGGGAGGGAGTAAACTGTCATTTCACAGGGCAAAGGTTTGTGTCCTGATGCCTTTATGTTTCACGTGAACACACAATCAGAAAGGGGAGGGGGCAAAGATGATACACAACACGACGCAGTGCTTTTTTTTTTTTTTATCATTGAAAGATTCTGGCTGATGCTTTTCTATTTTCTTCTTGTTGTCGTTACATTTCAAGCCACAATGAGTCACAAAATTGAAACAAATAATGCTTTTCTTAATTACTATAAGCACTGTGATATATTTTAGGCTCCTAACAGGTCACCAAAACATTCATCATTTATGTATTGTCTCCTAAAAATGCACCACTTGCTTCTGTTTACCTGCATTACCCAGATGTTTTAGTGAATTACTCTACTTGAATTTTTGTCTTTAGCACAAGACAAAGGCAGGAAAGCCAGACAGCACTGAGAAGTGACTGATATATTTTTTTTCTTTTTTGCTAGACTTGAACTTTTAATGTTATTTCATGATAACAGAGAAGAATAGAATAGCACCAGCCTTAGCATTTAAATCCAGAAAATGTCACCTGAAATATAAGATTTATATGCATAACTAATAACAGGACTGGAGGTAGATTCTCTCCACAGTTTGGCAGACGGACCCGTTTGTGCCACTTGACAATATAAAGTTTTCTGCACTGTGTGACAAGCTGCCGGCTGAAGGGGGATGAAATTTAAAATGTCACCGTATTTCAGCCTTACATGTCTTGACACTCTCTCGACACACTGTGCAGCTACTCTGGCTGTCATTGTGTTTGTATGTGTGTGTGTGCTGTCAGGCCGAGATGTAGAAAGCGTGTTTTTTTCTAATGGGGAAAAGGAATATTTGGACATTTTATCAATAGGCATTATTAAATCCTGCTTGCTTGAGCTAATCTTGGCGGACCGGAGCGAGAGGGGGGAAAGAGAGCGAGTTTGGAGAGAGAGCGAGCGAGGGAGGTAGAGCCGGAGAGGGGGAGAGGGAGAGAGCAGTGATGTCTGCCCCATGAGGTGAAGAGAGACCGCCTGTAAGCCGCTTATTATATCGACTACCACCTTTTCTCTCTCCTCCTCTCACCCTCCCCTCTCCGGTTTTCTCTCGTTACCTCGCTCATTTTCTATCTCTGTCTCCCTCGCTTGCTTGCTTTCTCCAACTCATTCTATATCCCCTCATTCTTTTTTTTTT